AAAATAAAAGCAGGCGACTGTGTTTCACTATTGGAAAAGTCGCCATTGCTCCAATTATACATACTGATGCATACACACGTATAGAATACTAATCGTGATCTAATGTGGCAACTTAAGATAGCTTGCATATTTTCACCGGTTAATATCAAGTTTAAAATATATAAAATTGCAGTATGAATATTACCTAGAAACAGGGGGAATCCTAAGTTCTATTTAGATTTACTCATTTTTATTCTATGGAACTGTTCTGATCTAATTTCAAATTCAGTTTCTTCTTACACTAGAATTTGGAAAAGTAAAAACGCAAAGTTTTATGATAATCTTTGCACTGTACTACAATTTACTACTCCTTGAACAATTCTACTCCCAAGCGCCATTCTAATTCATGGTTAGATATCTCGGACACCGAATTTCGTGAGATTTACATCAGTCTGTCACGCAATGGACAACTCCGCTGGATTTTTGCGTGTTTTCGGGCTTATAGGTTTAGGCACATTGAGTAGCGAAATTCAAAGTCGTTTGTGGTCCAACTGAAGCCGCTGACTGAAAGTATTGCCCAAAAAAATGGCGGCAATAAACTGTCCTTGAAACAATCTTTTTAACGAGTAGTGGTTTGCAAGGAAATTTGGATGAATTTTAGCCAAGATATGGCACAGCGAAGATCTTGAGGTTTAGCCAAGAATGGCTTGGTCTATTTTGGCTTGTTTTAGACCACAAGAAAACGCATCAGCAACAGATTGCAGAGAGAGGTCCTGTTGCGTTAAAGCTTGGCTTCAATAGATTCAAAATCGTCGGCTGAAGTGATTGGCATAGTACAAGCAATTCGCAGCAAACAGTTAATGTTAGGGAAAATGTCGGGATCACAACCCTTTTTACAAGTTTTGACGTTAGCTCTTCTAATTTAGGGGGTTCGATCGAACTGGTGAACTGATGGAACTCCTCCCTAGAGTTTTTGATATCTTCCAGTATTTCAAAAATATTTTATCTTCAGTGGAAAGCCTTTGATCTTCTCGACTAGATGAAGTACAGTAAAAATCCGCATATAAGAACCTAGAATTTTCAAGGTCAGGCTGAACGGGTTCTTATATTTTAGGGTAGTTTTTCACAATTCAGGCTGATTAGGTTCTTAATAGGTTCTTATTTTTCAGAGGTTGTCGTGGTGTAACCAGTGGCAGAAATATTGTACTTCTAATACAGATTATGGTTTATGGAAAACATATTTCTTGTGAAAATCCAAACAAATATAAATCAATGAAAACATATACACATTACAACTTTTGTCAAACGTTTCTGTATATAAGAACCTATTTTCCTTTGCCAGGCTGAACAGGTTCTTATTTTGGGGGGTATTTAAATGCCAAGTTTCAGCCTATTGGTTCTTAAATCACTAGGTTCTTACATGCAGGTTTTTACTGTATATTTTATAGGAGATCAAGCTTCCGGAGGCCAGTGACGTCACCAAACATGGTCGACATCTTGGAAATCAGGAAAAAAAAAACGGAGAGAATAGGTAATTTTTTGTGCTTGGCATGTAAAATAACACATAAATAAGTACTTTGCTTCATTTTATCCACAAGCTTTACTTTTATCTTTTAAAGAAGTTGAAAAAACATGCATTCTCACTCAAAATGGTTTCGGACCACCTGCTACTGTGCGTGATATCTCAGAACGATAGAAACTCAATCATCACCTAGTCTGCTACACAGTCAGGTTTTTAGTGTCGTCAGTTGGGCCTGAGCATTGCGTGATGACACTAAAAACGGCTGTGTAGTAGACTAATCATCACTAAACTTGTTTTTAACTGCGTATGAGGGATAAACGAACAGCTACTGAAAAAATCAGGTGCTAATGTTTAATCGTCTAGGAAAAATCCCAGCAAAAAACCTCAGAAGGGGTGATATCCAACCATCCCCCCCCCGCCCCCTTCCCTTGTACGTCTGAGGGCTAACGTTAAAAAGTAAGATTTAAGCTGGTCCCAAAGCTAATAGTAATTAAATTGCATACTTCTCACTCTCAAGTTGCACCTGATATGAAATTTACACTCATGATCTAATAGATGGGACATAAAACTGCTTAATGAAGGTGCATGCACAATGTTCGATGGAGTATTATTCCAGTCTGCTATAAAAAATGAAAGCTAGTGCTGGAAACCTGTCAAACCCTGAAGTCGCAAAGTCAAAATTACACAAAACTTCTCCTTTACAAAATGCTGGAAGACAAATAGTATCGTGACAAAGCTGGTTTTCCCAAACATGTTTCTTTTGAATGATTACCCTGCCACTCACTCATTCAACACTCACTCATTCAGTCACTCATTTAACCTCGGAATAAAACAAAATAAGAAACTTTGTAAAACCCAAAGGAACGAGTAACACGTGACTTCTTACTTGACACCTCTCTTTAGAATTCTTTCAGCCTGTTCGCTGCTGGGCCCGGCAGTTAGGAAAGAGTTAGTACAAAGAAACATGCAGTGACTGAATAATTTTTTTCAAATTCATTCGTTTTGAATAGTCGCAAGTCAAGAAAAAAGGAGAACAGAACACGCAATATTCATATTAATATGTAGTCACGTTTATTTTATCACCTTTGAATTAGACCGAATGACAACAATGTGCAGCTCCAAAGTTTCCCCCCATTAATTGCAAATAGAGAACACCCTTCACCCAATAATTTATTGACTAAACCGCTTCAACTTAGTGCGTCAGAAATTCTTGGAACTGTTACTGAACTGTATACACCATCGTTTACTCAATACCTTCCAATTTTATATGCGCCGAGGAAGGTACGTTTAGCTGACAGCCACAGCCTGCTTTCGTAAACGGTTTTCAAGCCGATCTTAGCGCCCTTTTTCAGCCGGATAACTCCGCCTGTGTAAACGCTGCCATAGTCAGCTTTGTTTCCGAGCCCTGTTTGCATGAAGGCAAATGGGTCTCCATCTACAGTTATTGCCACACGGTTGTGATCCTCAGGGCCGTCTTGGTAGATTTCAAAAAACACTTGGGCATAGATGTAATAGGCACCACGTTGCTTTATTTCCAATAGCCCCTGTTCAGACTTGAAACCTTTGAATGCTTCATCTTTCTCAAGGTCAGACAGCCCTAGGAAAAAAAGATAACTAAAAGATTAAAACATGTCCAAACTGCATGTTAACCAGGGCTTAAAGCAGGGGCACCCAACGACTGTTTTCTGTAAAATATCTGTTCGGAGAAGCAAAAATTGCCTACAATTTTCTATTACTTGAGGAAGGCTAAAAATGTCTAGATGGCCGTTCCATTCATGTACAGTTTTCGTCGCTTATCTAATAAATTCCCTACGATTTTGTAAAGTTAAGTTTTTCGCATTTCAGTCCCTAAGTTAGCCTATTTTTCGTAGAAAAAGGAAATCTAAAATTTTCGGATTCGAAAATGCGATGGAGACAGGAATTAGAAAAATACACACTTTCGTAAAACCTAAAATTGCATCTAAAATTTTCGGGAAAATAATACTGAGGCCCTAAGTAATTTCGAAAAGATTCAATTTGCCCTAGGACGACCGAACAGATACAACTTTTATAGCGCCGCTTAGAATGCATTTCTAGAGATTTGAAAGTACACTGGATAAGCGAAAAAGTGTTTTCAATGCATTTAGGAGGACCCCGTCGTTGGGTGACGCTGTTAAAGGGGCTTAGTTGTGCTATTTCCCATCTCTCAGTTGAACATCTGAAACGATCAGGTTTCGCATCAATTGAATTCCATAAGTACTAATGGTCCAGATTTGTCTTTTAAGACTATATTTACGCATTGGAACTGTGTCCTATCGTCTGTCCTTTCGGTTTTTTTTTTTTTTGTTTTTGTTTTTTTTTGTTTTTTGTTTTTTGTTTTTTTTTTATGGATGACAAGCGTATAAACATGGCTTGAAACTTGAAATAACGTTTTAATGCTATTATGCAAAAATCACCCTAAAACGATCATAATTAGTGCTCCCTGATGAAATTCATAACTCTAAAGGAGCATTTTGTGTATAGGTAAACGTACTGAACTTTACAGCAATATATCCTCGCGACGTAGCTCCTTTAAACGGTTAGCTGTTAATAACAGTTGTCAGGTATTTTAATGCTCAAATCTTACATGTATCTGCAGAGAAGTTGCGAGCCTCCGACAAGGTCCCTGAAAGTTGCGCCAAAGGTTTCTATAAGGAAAAAAAATCTACGTCTTAAACTTCCATGGATTTGGACGTCCCTGCTTGGGAAAAAACTTTGTTTACGCTTAAAGGCTTAAACTAATTCAGTAACCTATACGGAACGGTAGATCTAAGTGTTAAGAGTGATTTTCTGTAAAATTAGAACTTTGGCCTGACACCGGGTACCTCATCGATTTGGCTGATTTTTGGAATGAAGTTTTGGAATGGTGTCCTGACTACTGAATGCATTTTCTAAGGTTTGAATTCTCTTTGTTTCAAAGTTAAGAAGTAAAGCCTGTAATTATATCCTACCTTTCGCTAGATTAATTTGCATATAGGGAAGGTACCAATACTTCCGAAGCTCTCATTGAAAGCCAACACATGTGGATTAAATGGCTTGACACTTTTTTGTAAAATGCATATTAAAATTTTGTTGAGTCGGCATCAGTATGAAAATTAAAGATTTAGAGAAAAAAAAAATTAGAACTACTTACCTTAGGAGACGAAATTGCTTGTCGGCCTAAAATTAACAATCATATTAGATTCAGTATGTTACTTCTCTTTATAGGACAGAATGAAGAGTGCATTTCAGACTTGTGACCAGCGGAGGGTGCATTTGATTGCTCTCGTTTTGGAATATATTTGTAACGAAATATCAGATTTTATTTACATGTAAAGTTTCTTTAATCAGGGTTTTTTCTTTATACAAAAGAACCACTGCATATTTTATAAGAATCGAGGTTTTAAAAAGAATATCTTCAACCCGAGGTTGAGCCTTTTGAAAAGTATATAACTTGTGTGTTGAAAATCTGTAATTTCGATACAACTTAACCGGGTAAAAAGTACACCTTTCTCTAAAGGGAAAAAACTAGCTAACAAAACGAAAAATACCTGGACTATAGCTATAGCCAAATGTTCAATGAATGACTTCGATGAACAATACATGTAATACATATGAACAGTATACAGCACGAAGAAAAGGAATGAACTAAGCCGCAAAAAGTATCATTATAATATAAATTCTTTCTTTTTGAACAAAAATAAGATACTATTCTCAGGGCTTAACCCTAATCAATATTGGTAGTCAATGCGGTTCCTCCCATTGTAGAGAATTACTTTTGTGTGAATCATAATGTTTCAACGTCATTTTGGAGATGGAGATCAGTATTAACCTATCCTACATACTGGCACTGGTTGATCGTTGTACCCTGCTTAGCTTGCTCTCAGATGAAGCGCACACTTTAAGGCGTCTATATACAGCAAGTGGGTCACCTTAGTCCTTATAAGCTTAGAAAGCCTATACCCCTAGGTAACATTTAGTTTCCAGGTAACCGGGTTTTAGACATAAAGTGACGAGACGCGGGCAAAGTGCCTTTCCCTCGGGCAGACGCTCACTGAATCTGATGGTCGAGGAAATCTCATTCCCCTGCATTGTAGGAACTGCGATTCTGGTATTACAGTTTCACAGAGGTTCCGGATCGCCCTACAGAGCCAGCTGGGGAACCGGTGTAATTCCATAATCTCGTTTAGCCACTTGTGATCAACGGATAGTCATAGGCCTTCTTAACATCTACCCATGCAAGCCAAGCTTAAGTTCCCTTTACCTCGATGGCAATCCTGTGACACCATTTTACCAATCATTATTGTTATTGTTCATCTTCTTCTTATTATTATTATTATCATTATCATTATCAAATCATCATTATCATTATCATTATCATCATCATTATTATTAAAAATTCTGTGTATAGTCTTACTTACTCTCGATCTTGACTTCAGATATATGGATTTTGTTGTCAGTTGTGTGTACTTCACATGTAATGGTCACAGTGTGACCTGTTGTTTTCTGTGGCAAGGTGCGTTTTATGCTCAAGGTGCTGCTGGAAATGTTTACAACCTGAATCCCCTTGTCTTCCAGAAGCTGACTTTTCGTTTTCCAACATGTCCTTTCTTTGTTACAGTAACCGATGTCTCCGTCGGCTCCTTTTACTCTCCAATACATTTCAAAGTATTTGCTCGGGTCTCTTTTGATTGCATGACAATCCACTGTCTGAATATCACCTCTAATGGCAGAACCTGAAAAATATGTCATAAAAATGATGTGATATTAACTTTAAAGGGTCTCTAAGGTTTTTTTTTTTTTCAATTCACTATAGAATTTTACAATTAAAATTAATTATTCTTTACTGATGAGATATTAAACAGTCGGATCCCACCCTGAGATGAAAAGGAACAAAAAATAAAATTAAATAAATAAATAAATAAATAAATAAATAAATTATGCGGACATGACAAAACGTAAGGTATTTATGCCGACGCCATTAAATGACGAGAGGGCGGTAAATGCCATAACTTATTTGCGTCTGAACGTTCACGAGAGTTTCTCAGTAAGTATGTCTCAGTATGTTTATGATAAATCAAGATAATTGTTAATCATTCTATATCGAGTGGTCAATTCCTTTTACTGTTGTATAAGACTCAAACTTCTTTTCCTATTTATGTTTTATTGTAAGTTTGACGAGGTTACCCTTTGGTATCTACCGTCAGTGAGTAGGATGGGCTCCTGAGTGAGTAAATTGTTGCTTTTACTCTGTTTCCTGTATTGTAAAAATGACTGCATCGGTAACAAAGATGTCTGGTTTCTTGGAGGTCGCTATTACACTTTTCACAGTCCCATTTGCGTAAGATGTCTAAGATTGTCAGGATCGAGCGCTCACCGGCGCAGTACGTGTGGCCATCTTGGTTTCATATATGTACAGAGGGGACGGGCGTCGAAATTTTAACGCAGCCGGGGAAGGGAGGCGAGAAAAATTTCTTTTCAGTTATTTTACCGCGTTTCCTTCCAAACCGTTCCCCTCCCCCTAAGTTGATTTGAAACCCATCCAAGATGGCCGCCCGTAACACAATACGCAATGGTGGGCCTGGCCTGTGAACAGTCTAGCTATTACCACGATTCAGGAGCTCCTGATGGAGATAGTGGCTCCATTTGATGGGCTCCTGCATGATTACACTTTGTTGTAAATGCACCGGGAAAGGGAATTTCTCGGGAAAACGTTACAGACAGGAAGTTCCCGTTCAGTGAGGAATTCATGCGATCGGAGAAACATGTAAAACATCATTCCTACCTGATGTGTAATGAAGCAAATTTCCTGGTGGGAGAGCATAAAATAGCAATTTAACACTTTCACTTTCACAAGCAAACCAATACCGACATATAATAAATTGGACCCATCAAATTAATAGGTAACTGTCAGTGTATACTCTAGTCTGCCTTCGCGAGTCTCCGACAGTTATCAGACTCTTATCATCTTTTAGACAACATAGCTCAGTAAAACAATTAACAACCGTCTGTTTCAGAGCGTACTTAATTGAAACTGCTGTAGACCGGCACTGGAAATGGCTCAACGATAATTAG